ATATATATATATATATATATATATGTATGTGTGTGTGTGTGTGTGTGTGTGTGTGTATATATAATTTTATTATTAATAATAATATTCTATACTCGTATTGTGTACCTTAATGCAAAACAGAAGACCACGAATCTGTCAGGGCTTGTTTGTGATGTTTTTGTCTGAGCAGGGAAGGGAGTTTCAGAGAGCAAATTCAAACCAGTGATGACCTCATGCATAGCTGGGGAATCTTTAAGGAAAGTCTTTTTTTGGCATGAGATCTTGAGTATTTTTTTCCCCCCATTTAGGTATTTTGAAAACAATACTTCTACAGGATGTCGACTCCGTGCTCGCTATGGGGGAAAAGATAAATCGCTTCCACTTCAGCTCTCGGAAATTTCAGCCAGACATGGATAAATCCCAAACCGCGTGTCTCGCAAAGTTGCGCCCAACATTTTGCCTTTGACTAAGCTGATTAGGAGAAATTAGGATTTGGGAATGTTGTGTCTAGGGATGCTGTAGCTGATGAAACTGGGAGGGGGGAGTTCTATGTTTAATTCATTACTGTTTGATTGAGTCAAAGTAAAAGTATCTTTTATTGTCTTCAGATACATAATGTGTGGAGTCAAACAGTTGAAAAAAAATTGTTGTTATTGGTCATAGTACCAATTAGGTGTAGTAAATGGAGTATGAACACTGAGACATACAAACATAATACAAACATGCCATTTTAAGATGGGGACAACGATACAGTTAACCATGTGATTGATTGGGAAAGATTGTGCAAATGTGGTAAGAAAGTTCCGCTTGGAAGCAGAATGTACACTGAATAAATGGATTTAGATTCAGAGTTATGATTCCTGAGTGATTAGTCCTTTTAACAGACCCAGTCTTAGGCTGGCAAAAGCCAGACTCTTAAACAGGGGAAAAAAGCTGTTTTTAAGTCTCTCCGTCCTGGCTTTGAATGAGTGTTAAATTAGGAGTGTGTTTACATCTTTTTTTCCTTTAATGTTGTCATTTTGACTTGTAAGTCCTTTTAATATTGAAACGTAGGCCCATTTAATATTTAAAGGTCTCTTAATGATAATACCACCAACTTTTTAAAAATTATTATTATTATTATTGTTATCTGTTTCGGCCAAGTAGTGCAGACTGAGCGCAGTTGTGGTAACGGATCCCCAAGGGTTTTGTAGAGATGACGCGGTCCAGGTGTCACAGTGGAGCGCGACTGCACGTTTCTCTCCTCGATCTCATTCCATTGAGCTGAGACCTCCCACGCTGTAGAGATCACTGGAAAGAAAATATTACTGCATCATTCTGGACATGCCTTTCTTCATAGGTCATATTCTGTAATGTTAGAAATGGAGTTGAATCCAAAAGCTGGAGTTTTACTGCTAATGGCAAGAATCAGATGTTGCAGTAATAATGCTAGTGATTTTCTTCAGATCATTTTGTACCTCATCTTTTTTTATTATCTATGTGCAAGAAATGGTTAACAAAATGTTTGAGCCAAAGCATAAGTGTTGTCCAGGAACAACAATCTTGGAATTCTTATAGTCTGGGGTTTTAAGCTTTAATTACGGTGCATTTTCCACTAAACAGTTCTGAGTATTTGTTCATGTCTCTGAAAAATCGGGTCCTATTGTTTGCTCCTCTAGTTCTCTCCAAGCTGCATGCTAACAAAACAATGCTGCTCATGTTCAAATTGGTCATTTGCTTTCTTCCACACATTCTCACATGATTTACATATTCATTTTTTCTCAAGGTAATGTCATGCATTTAAAAACATGAACTTGTATATAATAAAGTAAAATAAAGCTGATTTTATAGGTACTCAGAAACGTTTAAAAAATGTCAGCTGATTGGCTCATAGTTTTAGTTTTTTGCTAATTGTAATCCCATTTCCGTTAATGGTAGAAATT